TTCTATGAGGGATCACCTACAACAGTCGATGCCATCCATGACAGTTATATTAATAAGTTCAACCAAATAAAAAAGGGTTCTTCTCTTCTCCCCTGTTCCCCTGTTCCACCCCCAAACGCACACTAAGTATAAAGAACGTGGCGCAGCCGACCACTTCTCAAGGGTCTGAATGCCTCGGCCGTGAGCGCTCGAGACAAACTTCGGGCGAGCAGTCTAGGCCCAACGGTCCGAAGCCAGGCCGTGCGCGTTCGGACTGTTCCGAGCTGGAGCCGCTTGACGCAAGCAGGACTGCACACGCGAACGGTTGGGAACTCATCCGGTGGGGCGAAGCTTGGGGTGATGGTGTCCCGCCTGAGGTTTCATGGCAAAGTTACAGCCTGGACCGAAAACCACGGCGCCCGGTGTAGCTTGGGGTGCCAAGGTAGAAACGAAAGGGTATGCCTCGTGCTCTCCATGGTTGGCCCCACGGTTGTCCCAACACAAATAAATAAGTAAATGTCCATCCACCCAAGCACAAAGGAGGCTCAAAACAAAGGGAAACAACTATACAAACTACACGACGGGTAGGTTGCGCAAAATCTATCATTATATATCTTTTATGCAATCAGTGCGACTCCATGCTGACCTGACTTCGAGTTTTAGGATTGCCGTGGGGTAAGGAACCCAATGGTCTCAACCGCTCCAACGCAACCCTTGCAACTCACCCCCTGGCACGGGGCATCTTCCCAGGTATCCACCTTGCGCCTTGGTCATGGGCCTTCACACGTCAGGCGGCATGTATTGGTCCATCAATAAGTCATGGCATCCCATGCGACCGGGTGACAATTGTGCGGCCTTGGCATCGGAGATCCGTCGAACCATTCACGTCCGCAGGGGTGAGACCAAGACCAAACGAAAACCGTCAAGAGGTGGGACACAAAGTCCTTCAGCGTCTTTTACATGACCAAATATGACCATGTCTTGTTTGTTTTTAAGAAGCCTGGTAGTCCGGGAGCTTTGGGGATATAGAGAAATTGTTTGCAATTGTTTAAAATTGATTTGGCAAATGTTTTAATTGTTTGCAAATTGTTCAAAATGGTTGTAGCAATTGTTTCAATTGTTTTGGAAATTGTTGAAAATTACTCAAAATTGTTGTAGCAATTGTTTCAATTGTTATAGAATTTGTTGAAAACTGCTCAAAATTGTTGTAGCAATTGTTTCAATTGTTTCCAAAATTGTTGAAAATTTGCAGCAATTGTTTCAATTGTTTTGGGACTTGTTGAAAATCTTTCAACATGTTTTTCAATTTACTAACAGTCATTTTAAAAGCTTTTTTTATTTTTGCCATTGTTTGAAATTGTTTTTTTTGGCACTGCTTCCAACTTTAAACGAGTGCTGCAGTGCTGCATCTTGTTCTAGCGCTGGTATCAATATGTGAAACACTTTTCTCCGCAATTATGTCGAAGCGGTAGCCTTTTCTGCTACTTCCTTCAAGATAGTATTGGCGCAAGCGCTGACTTGATGGATGAAACTTGTTTCCACATGTGTGTGAGCTTTTGTTCAAGCCCCTCAAGGGTTTCAATTCGACTGCAGCCAATGGAACCACAGTTAGTCCAAAAACAGACAAGCGCACCAGCCTGGACCCATTAGCCAACAAAACATCTGATAGTTGTTCTCTTGGTTGCAACCCTGATAGGACCTAGCAGGGTCAGCCGCAGCTCCAGCAGCTATTTTTTTCCATCCAAATACAGGTATCGGTATTGCATCAGCCCTGCTGTGCGCAATGCTTGCAGGGCCTGAGTTGCTGAGCTTTGCCAGCACCCCTTCGTCTAATATGCTGACAGTTGGCTGTACAGTGGTACACATCAGAGCCTTGAAAGTGGAGTACATACGCTGATGCAGCCAGATGAACCGCAGAATCAAAATCATCATGCTTTTTGCTGTGTGCTCCTGTTGGCAGATCGTTGTCACATGGGCTGAGCCCTGAATCTTGCAAACACGTGCAGGGCCCTTTCGAAGGGTTTCTGCCATTACCAGGTTTGCTACAGGAAGCAGCTGAAGAATGGCAACAAAGTAGAACCCCAATCCCAATTACAAAGCCACAGTTCAAGAGGAATGACAAAGCTAAGCCGGGCAAGAGCCAGTCTCCCATTGCAAGCTGCAACATGGCAAAGAGGCACAGCGGGCAAAACAGAAAGCAGGAAGTCACAACAAGAAAGGCCGGCGTCCTGAAGCCAAAAGAAACATGGAAAGCGAAGAGCTGCGCCTGGGAAAAACTGCCACCAGCCACCAGCTGACTGGGTAAACTAAAGCCTTGAATTGTGACCAGCTCCAATTGCACTAGGCTCAGGTCAAACCGCCTATGGGCCCATGGCCTGTGGCCTGTCGCACCATATTGGACTAGATAGCGCTGCCACCTAGTTCATTGTTCAGAACAAGCTTATACAGTAGTTATAAGTTTAAAACGTTAGAGTTTAAAACCTCAATCTGACTCAATCTATTTTTCTAGGTCCACCAGAAACTGCTCCCACCCATGCAGTGGACCCTGGCACAGACCTTCAAGCCTACTGCCTCTGCAGTTTTTGCAGCCAGTTCGAGCCTGAGGACCCCTACCCTTACATACTTCAGCCAGCAGAGGAGGTTCGGCTAAGCCTCGCCCAGCCGCAAGACCTGCCGCATTTTTTCACACTAGCTAGGCTCAAAGTCAAGTCAACAGTGAAACTTCTTGAAGCAAAGCCTCAGTTGAAGCGAACTGCGCCAGGCCAAAACCAAGGCAAAGCCTGTTTCGGTTTAAGTCTCTGAGCCTAGAAGGACGCCTAGTGCTGCAAGGGCGTTGTCTGTTTCCTCTGTAGTAGCTGCGCTGTCAGCTGGTCTAAAAAGCAAAGATGCTACTGCGCTCTGGGTAATGGCAAGCAACACTGGCAGAGCCATCGCGTTCCCAGCTAAGTCAGTCATCAGCCCCTCCGTCAACCACTTTCTGGACTGAGTAGACCGCTTGCTTGATTTGCCCTTTCTTGCGGGCTGATGAATGTCAATGTGTTCGTCAGCCACCTGTTTCAAGAAGGGCTCGACTGGAAAGCCTTGAAAGATTAGCGCCTCTCTACCTAGCATAATTCTTGGTGGTTTTGCCACTTCAACAAAGAGAATCTGGCCAGGGAGCATGGTTGGCGCCAGGTGCTTCTTAGTCTCCTGGCAGTAGCTAATTGTGTTCACCCTTCCAAGGGTTTGGGAAACGTTCCTGAATCCTGCATCAGGCGCTTGGGCTCTCGACAGTACCACAATATCCTGCTCTCTCTCTGTCAATGTTTCAAACCATGCGTTCAGCTTCAGCGCCTCGGGGTAAGGCTGCCCCCATCGCAGACCTTCATTTTCAGCAAATTTCATGTGTTGTTCGGTCCAGCTGCTGGAAGATTTTGCAGCCTTTGACGCAGCTTGGGCTCTGCTTTCCCTCCTCTCGTCCAAAAAGGCGAAGACCTCGCCTGAGGCGGAATTTAGAAGAACACGTGTGGCGCAAGGCGGGGATCTCAAACAAGATGCGACCATATGGTTGAACATGTCAAAAGACTTGGTCAGAGACCGGGCTTCTGTGTGCACCTTTGGGTTCACCTTCCTTACAAACAAGATGTACAGCCTGCGTCTTCGTGCTGGCAGCCCAAAGGCCGCAGCATCTGTCCGCACTGGCTGCCCTTTGTACCCCAGCTGTGCCATGGTCCGCATTATGACGTCTAAGTTGGATTGCTCGGTGGAACCTATTTGTTCCTCAAGCCCATCAACATTTTCATAAACAATCAAGCTTGGAGCATGGGCGGCCACATACTTGGTGAAACCTTGGTAAGTTTGGGCTGAGCCCCCCAAAGAGCTTTCTTGATGAAACACAAGTTTTTGCGTTTCCTTCTTTGGGTTGGCCTTACTAAAATCCTTGCACGAAGAGCCAACGACAAAAATGTCGCAACTTGGGACATCGCAAAGCTGGCCATGGCAAACGCAAGGGGCTTCTATGTCTCCTAGCTTCTGAATGTCATCGAAGAGATGGTGGGAGACGCTGCCAAAGGCACTTGAAGCAGCCTCCACATCTGAGACCAAGTCTGAGACTGGTGACTTCAAGCAGCCAACTTCCAAAACTGTTTGGATCCACATTTGCTTGTCTTTGTTGTTTTCACAGGAAAACAGGTGCGTCAACGACACTTCCAGCTGCGAATTTGTGTGTGTTTTGTAGGCTCTGGACAATGCTTCCATGACATAGAAAGCGCCTTCCGACCCACTGCAAGCTGATGCCCACGTCAAGGCCACCTTCTCTGAAGCGGCAGCCTGTTCTTCAAACAATTGCGGAAACAAGGTCTTGAAGCCCTCCAAGTTTTCTTCCGCAAACTCATACACAGCATCCCCACAAACAAGGCTTTCTGGATCTGCCACACGGCTGGAAGCCTGCCTGACCAATTCAACATTCAGCAGCACTTCAGGTTCCGAGGTACAAGAATCGGTTTTCGCCAAAACCCTCGAAAAGGCCATGGCCCGGTGTGCTGGAGAAAGACAAGGGTAAGGGCAGAATTGTAACAGCTAGGGACATACGGCTGACAAACCATGATGAATTTCACAAAAGTGCACGTTGCCGCGTTGCCTATCCTATCCTATTATAACCATGGGCCATGGCCATAGGTTAGGACTACCTGTTATGTTGTCAACATGGCCACAGCATGCACACTGCAGTGCATGTCACCAGGCACAAGAGCCAAAGATGGCTCCAGTAGGCAACCTTAGACAGCAGAAAGTTCAAAAGCTTGGTAACCCACCAAAAACAGCGACTCCGAGACAAGTGCACAACCGGTTTGAAACAACTTACTGACCCAATGTTGGTCCTACAATGACCTAGAAGCAAGCTAGCGAACAAGCTGTCAGGGTTGGCGTTCAGAAAGTGAAGTAGCAATTGGCAATAGCAGTGCAGCGACTGGCAGCCTGCAACGTGCCTTTTTTCCCAAGTCAAAACACGCTGCAGGCTGCAGGCTGGCTTTGGGTCAGTTGACCTAGCGCTTGCCTCTTCCTCTGCCCCTGCCCTTCCCTTTGGTGGCCACCTCCTGTGATGCAGCTTCTTCGTTTGTGCGGCGCTTCTTAGGCGCAGGTTCTGGCGCCTCGTCTGCACTTGCTTCCTTTTCTTTCTTTTTCTCCTTCTTCTCCTTCTTCTCCTTCTTGTGTTCCTTGTCCTTGTCTTTCTTTTCCTTCTTCATTTTTTCTTCCTCCTCCTCCTTGTGGGCCTTTTCTTTGCCGTCTTTGTTTTTCTGGGGAGCAAGATCCTTCCCAGCTGCTTGGCTTTTTGCGTCGGCGGCGCCGACCTTTTCTTGGCTTGCTGCCTCCTTCAAAACTTTTTCTGCCTTCGTTACCAGCGCCTGGTCAGCACTGTCAGCAAGCTTGAGTGCCTCAACCTTTTGCTTGAGGGCTTCTGCTACGCTGTGCAATTGTTTCCTGATCATTTTGCCTTCGTCGTTGGAAGCGCCCAGGGCAGCATTTCGGAGAAGACACAAACCTGCCACCATGGCGACATGCACCGAGCCAGAGGCCGCTGCGCTCAGGACTTTGCTTGTGTAGCCTGCTTCTCCGCCATTGTACTCTTGAAACAAAGCGTTGAAGCCATTCTCGCCCATGGTTCCAGGCAGCTGGATCTGAGACAGCTTCTTGACAGCCTCCACCATTTTCATCCTGTTTTTCTCGGTCTTTCCGATTTGCGCAACCAAGTCTGCCATGGTTTTTGTTAACTTGACACCTTCGCCCCTGTACAGGTCTTCGTTGGACGCGGGGTCCGGTAACTTTGCACAGCACTTTTCCAGTTCGGCGGCGGCAGTCCAGGTCTCCTCAAGTTCTGCTTTGCATGCCTTGGAAAGGTTGCTGCCTAGTTGAGCAACACTGCTAGTTAACCAAGCCAAAGTTTGTGGCTCACTGAAGCCAACTTGGCCAAGCTCTGCAAGCAAGTCGGCAGGCGCTGACTTGTTTTGCACCTGCTCCAAGAGCGGTTGAAGCTTCAGCCAAAAAGCCAGCAAGGCATGGGAAAGTTGGCACATAACTTGTGGGTCTGTGGACAAGCCAGGAAGCTCGGCAATCTGCAAAAAGGTCCACCAAATCCTTCAGCCTATGGGAAGCAGGAATCCGCTGCATGGTTTCTTCCCTGATTTGCCTGCTGAGCCCAGCGCCCAACAAGCCTTTCACACACTTAGATACAATGGGCGCAACGCTGTCCAACCCTTTCGAAAAAACCGTGGCCAGCTCAGCTTCAACCACAGCCACAAACATGGTTTCAAACCTTTTTGCGACCTCTTCAGGTACATAAGGCTGCACCAGGGTAAAACCCGAAACCTTCCATTTGTGCAAGGTCTCTGGCTCCACTGCCTTTCCACCAGAAGGCATCTGAGAGAAGGCTGCATGCTTCTGGAAAACATACTGGGCAACATTGGCTGCCAGCTCTGAAGCTTCCTTGTACTGCTTAACAGCTGCAGCCGCCGATGGCAACTTGTCCCACACCTTAAGACTCACAAACGCAGTGGCTTTGAAAGACAGTAAGATTTCATCTAGGTTGATTAACCCAGACTTGCCATGTCCTAGATCCACCATGCACTCCTTCTCCAAAGCATTCGAGAAATAATTCAAGTGATTCTCCATGTTTTCTTTGCAGATCAGCCAAACCATCTCAGAAGACCGCAGGCCAAGTTGCTCCTCCAGCCGTTCCAGGTCAGGAAGTAAACGGTTGGAGGCATGCTCTTGTTTCTTTTTCTTCATGTCTGCAAAAAAAGCGGTTTGCTTCACAACTTCCAGGGCCTCAACAGCTGGCTCAATTCGTTTGTGAACTGCCGCAACTCCTGACTCAGCCTCGGGCAAGCTTTGCTTTTGCCAAGCCGCCAGGTGCTTCACCGCCTTTTCCAAAAGATCCAGTTTGTCTTGGAACTCTTTTTCCTTGTCGCAATGTTCCACCCTGAGCTGCGCTGTGGCAAACAAAGACTTGCCAGTGTCATGTTGCAAGAAGAACCGCTGCAAAGCAGGCATTGCGACAAGCCGATTGCTCGACAATGCAGAAACCTGCTCCAAGAGCGCGCCAACATGGTCTTGCCCAAGGAAGCACTGCACTGTTCTCACAGATTCTTTCAATTCAGCTGCCATAAACTCTTCTGAATGCTCGTAGCAAGCCTCCAACATGGCTGCTGCAAAATCTAAACTTTCATTCAGCCGTGGGGCCTCGCTGCCCAAGTCAGCTGCAGTCTTGCCGGCTCCAAGAAGGGCAAGTTCACTGGCAGGAATTGCCCGCAAAGAAGCCAACATGCGGTTCTCTACTTCCACTGCGCAACGCTTGGCTGCCTCATCCTTGCCCATGAGCGTTTCCAGTTTGTTGATTGGCTTGTCATGTTGCTCTTTTGACAAAACAAAAGCCTCGCAGAAGCCACTGTACTTACCGTAAAGCAGTTCTTTCTGACCGTTGGCAACAACCAGCTTCAACCAGTAAAGCGGGCCCAACTTACCACCATTGGAAGCGACTTCCTCATGGGCACTGATGTAAGCATCTGCGTCCAGGGTGGGTGCAATGACTTGTGCCAGAAGCTTGGACCCAGCCGAAGCCAAGGCTGCGAGACCTTGTAACTTGTCCATCTGTATCTGAAAGGAATCCTTGTTGTTGGACTTTCCCACTCGGGTCAAAGTTTCCTTGGCCTTTTTAGCAGCAGAGTTCAAAACAGCCATCCTTTGGGTCGCCTCGGCTTTGAAATCTTTCAGCTGACTCGTGCTCAGAGGCTGATCATCATAGTTGACTTTGCTGATGCTTTCCTGGGCTTGCTCAATGGCCGTTTCCAGTGACTTCAAAGTCCTGCTGGCTCTGCCATCCAATGACAACATACCGGGGCCAGGGCCCATACTTTCACCAGCAAGGGCACTGCTGCCCTGGCTTTTGCTTGGAGCGGCTGTAACCTGGCTAGAAGCCTTGCCAGTCTTGGGTGCAGTTGAGGCAGTTTTAGTCGTTTTGGCTGTGTCCTTTGCCTTGGGTTTGGGCTTGGCTTTGGGCTTCTCAGCATGGTCTGCATTGCTTTTCTGTGGGGCAGCCCCCGACAGCAAGTCCAAACCAACTGCCGCTTCATCCCCTGAGCTGGAGGATGTTGAGCTGGAGGAACTCTCCTCCACTGCCTGCGCCTGCTCGTCCTCAGCAGTCTTAGTTTCAGCAGCAGCCGCAGCAGAGCTGGAAGACCGATCACCAAAAGAGCGCGCAACCTGGACCAAGTCCGTAAAGGTCATATCATTCTCCTTAGCTTTCACAGAGGTGGCCTCCCTGTCCTTTGCTTGTTTGTGCAGTGTGTCCAGGGCAGCTTGCTTCTTGGCTTGGAATGCCTCTTCTGCAAAGATCTCTTGCTTTCCATCATCTTCAATCACCCGCTCCTCGACTCCTGTGTCCTCATAAGCTTCGAAGTCGTAGACGCCCTCCTGCCCAACTGAACGCCACACGCCCTTGCGATAGGCTCCGTCGATCCAAGCTTCTACTTCCTTGCTTGGGTCCCATTCGCCGTGGCGAGCAGTGTCCCAGTGAGAGCTCAGGACAAACTGCTTCTTTGGACCTGTGATCCTGCCCCCCTGCTTCTTGGAAATTACGAGTTCCCTTTGCGTTTTCAGCAGTTCCTCTTTGTCGTGAAGTTTGAATTTGTCTGGATTTTCTAGGTGTTGCTTCAACCATTGCTTGACCGCCGCTAAGAAGTCTTTGTGTTCATGTTGATTCTGCCTCTGGCTAATATGCTTGTAGTAGTCTTGGTAGGACTTGTGCTTTCTGTGCTTTCCCAACAACCGAAAGACGTTGTAGCAGGGCAAGCAGCATTTGCCCTCAGGCACACGAACCTTGTGCTGCGGCACTTTCCTGTACTTGGCCCAAGGCCTGGTGGCAAGCATATCCTCTGCCTCACCTAGGTCCTGTGCCAGTGGGTTTGGGTCTGTGCTTTTGGCAGAACACAGACAGCATTGACAAGGTTTGCTGTGAGCCACCGATATGGGCCACTTGGCACCAGCAGAGCTAGTACAGCCTAGGTCGCTCGGCACCGTCTGGTCTGCCTGGTCATCTTCGCTGCCGGAGGCCATCGGAAGGCAACGCTGCGCGCAACCCAACTTTCTTGGACTTTGAACAGTCACTGCAGCACAGGTGCTCCAATGAACAACATTGAATTGAATCGAATTGTCACAAATCAGCCAACAAATGTTGGAATTTCTCGGGAAATGTCGAAACATTTGGGGAAACAATTGCCAACACTTTTCTCTACAAATGGTTTGTAGAGATTTCATATATATACATATTCCCAGATAATGTTTCTTTATATATCTATATGATAGAAAAACTGTTCTCTACAAATCATTTGTAGAGATTTTGACGGCGATAGTTTTGGACAATTGTTGTAAAATAAAAATAGAAAATTAATAGATATGGTAATTCTAACTAAAAATATTGACTGTCATAGTCGGTACCACTGGCTCATGCCTAAGATAAAAGGTCAACCTCAACACATTCCAGTCAAAACAACTTTGCCTGACACTGATTGCTTCAGCTAGCCGAGCGCAAACCTCAAAGCAGCCGTTTTTTTAATGCCTAAGCACTTTTCTGTCCAGAGCGTCCTCTGATTCTCCAGAGCTGAAATCTACTAAGCGAAGCCCCCCCATGGATAGATGCAATGATCGCTCTTGGCCTGCTGGCCAATTCTTGTCATCCAACCCTGCCATCAGCCAACGTTTGAGACGAACCCTGCACTCTTCCTCAGGTAAGTCGCCTGTGGTCAACGCTTTTCTGCACGAGGTTCCTGGCACATCGTCGGAGTTCTGGTGCAACCCACAGATTGCGCCATAACCAGTTCGCACGCCTTGGGTGTAAATGGGCGCTAGATAAAATACACCCCAAGACTCACCTCTGCGTTGGCGATTTGCTGTGGCAGAGGTCACCTCTGCAGAGCAGGCTTGGATTCGAAGCGGGGCCTGGGGCAAAGGATGCTCAGATGCGCCGCTTTGTTTTGCCCTGCTGGCTGCAAAGCTGGAAGGGTCAAAGTGATCCGCCATTTCCAACCTTGAAAATGCGCTTGTTGGTTTGACCTGATCTTCATCATCACTATTTTGACTGTTGTCAGATCCATGTTCGGAACCAGGGTCCAACCCAAGAAGTTGCCTTTCCACCTGCAGACCTGTTGCTTTGGATCGCTTCGCTGACCCAGGGCCAGACGCCCTGGCTTGGTCTGAAGCTTGGCGTTTCTTCCCTGTGCCAAGCATATGGCTCAAAGCTTGCAAAGCCTGGGCAGTTTCACTGGCTTCCTGAGCCTTTTGCTGGAACGCGTTTTCTTCAAAAGCTGTGACAGAAGTCACATTGAACCTTGACAAGGCGCGAACACCGCCAATGTCCACAAAATGGAAAGTCCAGTCAGAGGCCAGTTGCGCCAGCTCTACAAATAGCGCCCGATCACTGGTCAAATCCAGAGCCGGTGCATTTCCTGCAACAGCATCTTGCCCAGCTGCCGCGCTAAAAGCTAGTGAAAAAATAATGCCCTCGCCTGCAAGTTCTGGAGCATGGACCCGGTGCAACACCAACAGTGCAGCTTCCCAGGGGGCCCTCCTGGTGTGAAACATGACGGCTACATCTTTGGATACGTTGCTGCTTTCAGAACGCAAGGAGAGGACAAGCACTTCCTTTGCCACTTGTTTCGGCCTTGGGGCATGGTGCCTGACAATGAACCAAAACCTATCGTGCAAAGATTTCACCACGGCTAAGCCGGCGTCAGGCAACGCGTGCATGCAGCCGCTTCGAGGGCAGACTGGCATCAAAGGAAAGGGTTCAGGAGGGCTTCCAACAAATCCATCAGCGTTTTCGGGCAGCAGACTGTTGCAGTCATCAACAAACTGAGCAGACATTGCGTTCATTTGGTCCTGCTGGCTTGCAACAACATGGCGTGCAAGTGGGAAGCCATTGGGGGCGCCAACGTTGCAAGGACTGCCCATGGGGAGGACTTCTGCTTCCAACCTGTCGGCATCTGCTTGTCTTCCTGCTAAATTTGCAAACACATTCTGAGCCTGCGCTAAGCGCGCATACCTGGCTTTCTCTTCTCTGCTGGCAGCCGACCACGCTTGCTGAGCGGCTCTTTGGCGGTCTTGCAAGGTGCCTCCAGGGTTTTGCTGCATGCGTTCTTTGCAGAAAACATTCCAGCCATTAGTGCACTTACCCTTGGTCCTTGATAATGACCAAAGAGGCCTTCTCTTGTTTGCATGCTGCTTCAGCGGTTGCTTCAGAACGTGCCTCCGCCACAGCTCCGTTGTTTGCTGAAAGCGGCACGATATGTGTTTGGCAGCGATGGTGCTCAATTTGGGCCTGGGCCCCTTCTTGACTTCAGCCCATTCAGACAATCTGGAAAAGACTCTTTCGATAAAGGTGCTTGTAGGAACAACGCGCTGGAAAACTGCGTCCAAAAACTGCAAATTGTCTGGATCCAGCGCCTCACTCTCTGGGACAGTCTCCCTAAGCTGGCGGGCAAAAGCATCAAGCTGACACATGTTGCAACTGAACAATTCTCTCACACAGGTTTGCTTGTCGCTCAGAGCTGCAGTCGGATCCGCCAACGTGGCCAAGGCCCAAGGGTATTGCTGAAAGGGATACACCAGTTTTCGCCACAATTGGCCCACTGTCATGCACAAAGTTCGGCGTGTGATTCTGAGCCTTTCTTGGCTCCAGTCCAGAACAGGGCCAGAGGCCAATACAGCTGAATCCCAAGCAAAACCAGAGGGTTGGTGGGCCAGCTTGCTCATGGATTGCAAAGCTTTCAGAGCAGGGTTCAAAGAAGCCTTGCAGAAACAAGCCATTGACATGGGTCGCCAGTCCTCTCCTTCCTCGGCTTCTTCAGCATGCCTTGCTGCGTCATCAGCATCGTCGGCATTGGCATCATGTTCTTCCAGGCCAACGCGCTCTGAGAGCCATGTAGCATATTTGAATAGCGCAAAATGCACCCTCATCACTGGCTTTGTGAGGGTTGACCACAATGCGGTCATCCACCTGCTTTGTGGGTCAGACAGAAAAAAACAAGCTTTCCTAACCCTCATCCTGGCAAGCTTTCTCCAGGCTTTGTTCTCGTCGGCTGGCACGCCTAGAGCTTGCCCCTCCCTGTCCGATTCAGAATCTTCTTCAGCAGGAGGAACGAGTTGCTTGGCAGCTTGCGGCACCAGATCACAAAAACTTTGCAACACGGCAACATGCCTGATACAAGGTGCTACTTTGGTCCATTTGTTTAGAGCAGGCACGGAGATAGCAACAAGTAGCTTCGCAGTAAAAAATTGCATGGCCTTCTCAACGCTGGAGGCCCTGTCTGGGCAGCACCCCTGGCAAACATGAACTGGTGCTCCTGGAGCGGCAAGGGGCAGGCTGGTCAACAAACGATGGTGCAGCTTTCCAAAAACCTCTCAAAACCAGGGTTGAACAGTGTTCCTGATGCTAGTCTTGATGGCTAGGCTAGACTACCATGTGCCACCAGAAACCAGCAAAGACTACAAACCGTGTGATGTGATTGAATATGACTGAATCTGACTCTGGTATGGTGTGATGATATTGTGGTATGTAGTAGTATGTTATTAGTAATAAGTAATAAGATAGGAATATAAAACGATGCCATGAGAGTGTAATAGTAATAGTAATGAGTAGTCATGATTCAATGATGCTGATCTGAGGCATGGTACGGTGCTACAGTCCATCCAAGTTTCCCAGAATCCCTGAACTGAACCTCTATACCTTGAAAGAAATCTCACCTGCCTGCTTCAAGCAAGCGCCCCCCCATTCCCAATCATTTTTTTTCAAGCAGGACAAGCGGGCGCTGGTCAGCCAGTCAGCGGCATCCACCACGACAAGCAGAGGCAGAAGCCAAGCAAAGCCTGCGCACACACCTGGTTAAAGACCGGCAGCTGCTGAAAAAGTGGCTCCAAAAAAGCGGCCAAGGTCCAAGTTCAAAGCCTAGCCCAGTCCTGGCAGGGACCAGGCTCAAAGCCATGACAAAGCCGACAAAGCTCCAAAGCGCCATACTGCAGCAACTACAGGTCTTTTTCTTGGTCCCCAAAGTAGAACCTCAGTAATAATACCACCGGCGCTTTGGGTTCGGGCATTGCTCCTCACCCCCCCACATCTTCAGGTAGTTGGCCACTGGCAAGTTGGTGCCCAAAGCCAGGTCCACAGCTCCAGCGCCTCGCTTGCCAGACCTGCTGTTCAACATAGCACTGACCTGGCGGAACGCCGATTCCGTTTCGCCAGCCTTCGTGTACATCGTCCAGCAAATCTTTTTGACCGCCCACAGGTTGGCTTGCGCAGCTGCCAAGTGACAGGCTGTCGTGCCAGTGTAGGCTTGCAGCGCAATCGCCCCAACACTCATCGAATGCAGCAAACACCGCATGATGCGTTCAAAGCTCCCTTCCCCAATTTGATGAACTGGAGTGTCCATGAGCACCATCAAAGCTGTCCACCTAGCAGGGCGCGCATCAATCTTTGTTGTCCTCTCAACAGCTTCAGGGCATCGGGTCACCAGGAGCTCTACAACCTCAACCTGACCAAGCCTGACCGCATGGTGCAACAAGGTCATCCCCTGGCTGTCGGCCACCTCCAGTAGCAGTGGGACAGGCAGCTTCTGGATGTGATCCACCAAGGCCGGGTCCCTGTTCAACAAGGCGTCCAGCAACATCGTGCGCTGCTCCTCTGTCATCCTGGCTGCTTCCAAACGTTCCAGCTTGGAAAGCAAAGACTGGTGGGACACCTTCTGGGCCTCCAGCAAATCCAACAAGCTCTGCACAGCCTGGTCTGGCAAGCCTTCCAACTCTTCCTCTGCCTTGGCCTTCTCAGGCATCAGAGGCTGAGCCCCTCCTACCTCATCATCATCATCATCGTCGCCGCCAAAGTCGACCTCCATCGGATTGTCTTGGTTGGCAGCACCGGCCGGACCTTCAGGCGCTTCTTGGGATTCTTGGGGCTCTTCCTTCACAAGTTCTCCACCAGTACCTCGAGGACTTGACGCCGGCACAGGAGCAGCCGCAGCGGGAGCTGCCTTCTTCTCCTCCTCCTCCTCCTCCTTGTCCTTGTTTGCCTCCTCCTTTGTCTCATCCTTTGCAGTTTTCAAGTGAGGCTGCTTGTCCTTGCTGGGCTCTGCTGGGCGCTTTTTGCTTCCATCTGCATACCCAGGTGGATGCATTGGCTCAGGCACACTGCCAGACACATACCCAGGTGGATGCAGTGGCTCAGGCACACTGCCAGACGCCGCCGAAGGCGCAGCTAGCAAAGTCAGGTCAGACCCAACAACAACTGCACCAACTTCGCCAGAGGCGTCTTTCAGTGTGACACCTGGCTCAAAGCCGCCTGCTGCATCAACGTGGCCTTCCAATTTGCGTTGCAAAGCAGTTAAATCTTGGACCAGCAGGCGGAGCTTGCGTCTTCGGAGGTCAGAGGTCTCGCCATGGTTGCTGCTGCCACCAGGTGTGGACACAGGGGTCTCAAGAAAATGCCAGGTGCCTTTGTCAAAGCCTTCAGGGGGGTGGGGCACATGGTAGAAGGAAGCGCCAGTGTCGCTGGCCTCAGCCTCTGTCAATTGAAACTGCTGAGGAAGCAGCAGGCTTTCTGCTTCAGAAGAGGATGACTGTCGGTCGCTTCTGTAAAGAAGAGGAGGCTTGGAAGCCTTGCCCACAGGAAATGCAGCTACAAAGCCTGCCTCAATGGCCTTGCGCCTCAGTGGGACAAAGCCTAGGGCCACCTTGGAAGCAGCTGGGTGACTCACATGAACTTTTCCCTCCACAGATTCCAAAAAATCGATAGGGCGAACTGTTGCCACTCGCCCTCTTGAAGGCGGAGCGCGGCTGTTGAGGTCCACAATGTTCCTCATTGTAGTGAGGAACGCAGCAGCTTCTGCGGCTGACCAGCCTAAAAGGCGCATCAGCACCAGGCACGTCAAGGTTGCCGAACGGTGTGCGCCGTTGTGGCACGCTATGAGGACAGACTTTCCAACAGCAGCTTGATGATCTCATCGACGATGTTCATGACTCGGTCCCAAGGAACATCCCCATGCGCAGCGCCAGTGCCATCCACAGTGTCCAAGACATATACATTTGGACTCTGAGGCATTGCAGACTTGCAGGCAGGCCAAACATACCCCACCTCGTTCTCAGAGAGGAGCACTGAGTCGTGGACAGCCTTCTCCCCCCCAAGCCAAAGCCTGCCATTGGTAACTGTCTCGCAGACCAAGGTCATAGGATGCCTCTTGTTGTATTCTTGCCGGGCATACTTCACGCATTCCACAGAACCGTAGTCGTCCACAACCAGGAACTGGTCCAACTCTGACAGCACACCAGCCACAATGGCGTCTGTCATGCTGGAACCAGGCCTAAGGCCGTGGAACACCTTAGCCCGTGCATCCAAAGGCAAGTACGCTGTTCCAAGCCCATGCGCATTCAAACTTGCCAGTGTCCTGTTCTGACCCAACTCCTTGGACAGGACCATTGCTGAAGGTTGCGCTCAGTCGATCGTGGGAAACGTTGAGCTCTGAAACACTTTGAGCCAAAAGAGGCCGGCGCAAAACAGTTGCTTCCAAGCAAACGGCTTGCTGGTCTTTAGCGAACAAGTTGCGCAGCCCAGGAAAGTGAGTTACGGTAAAGTTAAGGTAAGGCCAACTAGAACTAACTACATGTGCCTTAGCCGCCTTTACCTGGACCTTGGCTGCAATTATTCTGTTTAAAGAAAAAATTACAAACCCCTTGTCACCAACAGTCCCCCCCAGCCCTGCTCTGCCCAAGCTGTCCTCTCCAGGGGCCAGGGAAGAAAGCAACAAAGTCGTCAACGAACCTGGTCCGAGACCGCTTAGCAACGGCCTTCTCGTCTTCGCACTGCAGCATTGTATTCAAAAACTCTTTTGCCTGCCTGCGGGCGGCTGCCCATTCAGCTTGCAAACCAGGAGGCTCTGCGTCCATGATCACCAGGTTTTCAGACAAGACTTTTTCAACTGCTTTTGTGAGGTCTTGCAGAAACTTCCCTCGGCGGGTGCTCTTGGACACGCAAAATGAACCTGGCAATATGCCTAGATGTTTGGTTGCCCTTTCAATTACATTTCCATTTCGATGCTGGGCGCACAGGCTGGGAAATATGAAGGAGTTCTGCGGCATCACTGCATGCAAGTGTTTGAGCAGCCGTATGTTGGCTGCATGCTGGTCACACGACACCAGCACAGCAGAGAACTTTGCTGGAGACCCAATGAAACCAGGCCCAAGGCCGCCTTGGTCCAGGCACAGCACGCCCCACATGCACTCAGCCGTTTTACGAGGTAGAGCCCTTGGCGGCCTTGCTATGTCAATCTCCACATTCTGGCCTGCAGCGCAGATGCTAAGTTGGCTGTGGCTTGCCAAGACTGACCAGCTTGCAGACCCAACTTGTTTCAAAGAAACATCCAGCTCTGTCTCGTCGAACATCAGGTTCACTATGTGATACAGCAGCAAACCTCTTTCACGCAGCCGGTTTATCTCTGATTGGATATGCTTGGCTTGACAATCAAGGAGGCACTTGCCAATGAACATGCGGGCTTTGATCACATGGGCAGCACTTGCCCCATCAACTTCCCTTGCTGCTTGCCTTACTGTTGCAGTAGCCTCGCCAAAGGCGGCCCTCAAAATAGCCTCAGGCGTCCACTGCTTCCAAGCGCCTCGACCTTTTGGTTTGGGCCTGGCTTCATCAGCAGGCTGCAAAGGAAGCAAATGATCTAGGGTTCTATGGCGCCCTGACGCATTGGACGCTTGAGCCTGCAGCCTGAATGTGTCTGCCCTGTGCTCTTTTCTTTTTTTCCTCAAGAAACTGACCCGGCTTCTCCTTGCATTCATCTGCCTAGCTCTTGCCCTGAAAGCATTGGCCAAGCCACGGCCGCCACGCCCCAGGCAAACACCACGCCCAAGGCGGCCACCAACTCCAACACCACGCCCAAGGCGGCCACGTCCACCAGCACCAGGTCTAAGACCGGCCCTAGCAGGCTGCTGGCCACCAAGCGCAATCCCTGCCAAATCATGTAAGCTCAGCATCGCCCCCACCCATTCAACATGGAAGCGAAACTCTTTCGCCAATTGTGGGGGCCATCTTGAACCAAAGGATTGATGGAGGAAAGTGAACCAGGTGTTATCACAACATGTGAAAAGGCTAAGGATGGAGGCAGCTATCGATGTGATGCATGTTTTTTGTTGCTGTTATATAGCAGCCCCAGCCATCGATGTGATGCATGTTAAACCGACCATTACTAACTTGCATGTTCAGTATGTTCAAAAGGTTTGCTTGCGAACAAACATGTTGAACATAAGCAACAATTTCAACAACAATTGCGCAGCAATTGTTGCTAATATTCAACAATTCCAAAACAATTGCAAAACAATTGTTGCAAATATTCAACAAATTCAAAACAATTGCAAAACAATTGTTTGAAATATTGAACAATTGTTGAAACAATTGTTGAATATATTGAATAATATTGAACATTTGTTGAAACAATTGTTTTAAATATTCCAACAGTTGCAAAACAATTACCCAAACAATTGAACAATTGCAAAACAATTGAAAACAAATGTTCAAACAATTGCCGGTGACTATTTCGGAGCCCCTTGTAACCCTTCACCAGAGGCTTCTTAAAAACAATCAAACCATGTCTATAAGTGAAAGCAAAACTTATATAGGTCTACAATAACTTGTTTTCACCATGGGGTCTTGGATCAGGATCCTTTTTGCAAAATACACACCACCATGCTGTCTCCTTTCAAGGTCCACCTTTTGTCCATCTGACTAAAAAGCGAACTCACAATCCTGAATTGTTTAGAACATGGAGAACACCAAATACGTGACAAGTTGGTGCAAAACGGGCTTGAGCATCACCCAGAAACGGTCCCTTTCGAAAGATCCTGCACCTACATACATCGGTAAACCAGCCCCTTGGTAGGGGTTATGGCGACCCTGGTTGACTCAAAGCACAGGGAAAGGAATGTAATCTCAAACTACCATCAGGAAAAAGATCTTCAAGTGCTCTGAAACGTCAAATGGGGTGTTTGGAGGTACTTGGCCAGTGCTTTCCAAAAGTATAACATAACATATTATATATACCAGTGGTTTCAGAGTAGATGGCACTGGCACCCCACATTGACTTCTAGATGGGGTCCACCAAACTTGGGGGCCCAAACGTGCCATCTACTCTGAACCCCACCCACTGTAGGTATTTGATTGAACCTTTTTGGGCCCATCCCCAATCCCAACCAAGGCGCTCCGACAAATCCAGCCTCGGGTCGCTCGCCCGAGCGAGCGATTGCCTACGTGGTAGGCTGGTCTCCTGCCCTCCCCGCCCTCCCCCAGCAAATACTCCAACCAATGGTGTTTGGTCTATTTTCCATCTACTGTATTTTCCTTCTTCCACGGGGTCTTTGAGCTCCCTTTCTGAAATACACACCCATGTAGAGTACATCAGTCGATCCTGAGGAATAAGGACATATGAGGACCTCGATTGAAATGTGTGTGCTTTGTATGCTTCTTACAATGTCAACAGGAGGAACGGCTACCAATATGCCTAATCAACCTGGCTTGGCAGTACTGAGAAATATGTATCGATATCTATAGCTTTTTTTCTAAATATAGACTGTCTATATCTGCCCAACACATTTACAACATTGACATGTCCAAAGCCACTTTTTCACAACATCAATCACACAATAGTTTTCAATCAATACGGCCAGGACCAGCAGAGGTAGAAGAGGGTGGCTGATATAATTTGACATTACATATTAAGTCATATTAAATTGGGCTGGGTAAGCAAGTAGAACAGCTTGAGTGGTTTGCCTTGTTCCTTGTCCGCTCGGTGCCACATTTCTGAACGCATCGATCCCAACCGAGCAGCGTGATGGCCAAGACAATATTGCCCACAGTGGAGGTGGAGATGGGGATCCCAATCAGATTCTCGTTGGCCTGGCTGACTGACGTGCTGGGAGAAAACAAGAAGGGCGAGATTGACACCACCGAGTGGAAGAAAATACTCTTGAACATCTCTCCAGCACAAGCAAAAGCATTCTCTGTTGAGTGATGGTGGAACTGAAGCTGACCACAAGGAGGAGTTGGGATGGATTCCACTTCCATGTCTGAGGGCAAGTGTCAACGTGAGATGCAAGTGCGGATAGATAGCAAGTTACACTATCACGAACTATAGAAACTCGCGAAATTATCTTGAAACAAAACCAACATGTAGAAAATGGCAACACACCAAACCCCAAACCCCATCCGAAACCAAAGGTCGGACTCTACCGACTCGACCATGACATCTCAAGAAATGTCCTGCAAACTGCAAACGTGGCAATTCCCAGTCTGCAGAAGTGCCTCATCACCACCCAAGTCGTAGATATGGGCCAACCTTCGACCACGGTCTTGGACCAGGGTTGCATGGGATTTCTGCGAAAAAAACGAAGACGCACATCAATAAACTCAAGAATCTAGCAAACCCTGGCAGGACATGGCAGGACTGGTGGAGGAAAAAATTGTGAGAATCATGGATGTCGAGCAGAATCATTGATGGCAGCTCCCCGATCCCTCACACGCTGCACTAGCTCTAAGTATTTGGCACTTTGGAAGTGCCCTCAGTCGCGTAGCGCGCGAACTTGTAGTCCTTAGGGCTAGGAAGTGCCGCAGGTGACAGAAGCGTCAACCTGTAGTCTCCAAAATTGTTGGAGACTTGTTCCCAAACGAAAACACGGCAAGTGTCATGTTTGGAGCCACATGGCCTTATCTGTGTATACCGGTTGTATTCCCTTATGATGTCATGCAAGTGGAGATGTGCAGTCCAACATAGTCTCACGACCTTTGCGCATCTTTGGAACATGCGACAAAAGTATCCAATTCAATCAAAGGAAGCATCTTCGTTAAAAACCCAGCCGCCAAGGCATGGCCGGATGCCAAGTTGAACATTTTTGAACATATGACAAATACATAGACACCGAGAAACCATCTGACCTGTGTTAAGTTGACGCTCATATTTGGAGTGGCTGGTGCCCTTCAAAAAGGTAATATATATATATACATGTATATATATTATATATTTCCTTTACACTTGATTGCGGCCACAAGCAACCAGCAAGCATGCCCCACGCACAAAAACCCTGAGTCAGAACAAAGAGGCCAGCGCCACTGTGGGCTTTGGTTGGTCCTTGGAGCATGTGCAGCAACGCCACAGAAGCGGTAGGTCATGAACTCAAGACTCAAATGAGTCCAAAGGTGCAAACGATGACGTCCATGAATGCAGGGTCCTTTGGAGTTAGCAGGGTCCTTTGGAGTTAGGATGCTGGCGTTAGGTGCACACTCTGAAGCACCTGCCCGACTGAAGCACCATGTAACTACCGGGACCCTCCAAAAATTCAATGGACCACTGTACCCGATTGCACTGTTGAATACCGTTGCAGCTTCGAAGGTGGTCCAGGCACCATGTATATATATATAACTCATACATACACAAACGTATATATATAGTATGTATTTGTTGTATGTTGGTTAGCCAAATAATTACGTACACAAATGTATATATACCTCCCAAGCTCCTTGCCTCAGCAACATGGTGTGGGAGAATTGAAGCTCCAACAATGGTATCAACTCTTGCCGCTGGGGCTTCACATGGCTTCACCCTTGCAATCCCTTCCGGCCCGTCCATGCTTGATGAATCAAACCTCCCCTTCTGCCCTTCCTCTCCAGAATGGTTTCACATCTTCATATTGAATCATATTAAGAGGTTTCATTATGTTTCATTCATCCACCGTCTGCATTTCTCAACCTCATCCAGAGCCAGCGCCACCGGAGCCGCGCGCGCGAGGAAACCAGGTCGCCTTCTCGTCCTTCGTTGGGTTGATGAAGCGATCGACCAGGGAGGTCTTCCCCGACCTGGGCGTGGGCTTGGGGTCTCCGACCAAGTGCCCTGGCCACTTGATCAAAGTCTGGATTTCATGAGATGCATTTTTCTTCAGAGGTGCAGAAATCTATTGTTTGTAGATATCTGACGTTTGTATACTTTGATGATGATGATGATGATGATGATGATGATGATGCTGATGCTGATGATGATGAGGAGGAGGAGGAGGACGAGGATGAGGATGATGAGGAGGAGGAGGAGGACGAGGATGAGGATGATGATGCTGCTGATGAGGAGGAGGAGGACGAGGATGAGGAGGAGGAGGAGGAGGAGGAGGATGATCAACTCGACATTGTGGATTTCCTCCACTATGTCACTATGTCCTTCCTCTTCTTGATCCCCAGTTCTGTAGCAGCCTGGCCAGAGTTGAAGCTCATAAAGCCATCCGTACAGTGGATTGCGGCTCCCATGGTACACCTCTACCTGTGCGATGAGAAAAATGGTGATGTCACAAACTTGCAAGATCTGTTCACGGCTTGGCCACAGGAATCATAAGGGCTCCAAGCAATGACCACGCATGCTGATCGATTTGTGTTCAAGTCGATAGATTCAACAATCAAGGGAACAAAAGCTCTCAATGCCTTCGTTGGTCCTCCACCATATGGGTTCCCCACTTCTTGAATCACACCATGGCGGTTGACAACATCCCCTTCAGGGTCATTGCACTGTCCTATCACCTCGGTCTGGACTCCCATACAGGCCACTATAGAACAGCGCTTTGGACAGATACCCATTGGCTGTTGCTGGATGATGATGCTCCACCTGAGAAACACTCTGTGTTGCCCGATGCCGTACTCAGGACTGTGTGCATTCTATGGCTGCTGACGCGGAGATGGTGGACCCGAGCGGAGATGGTGGACCCCGAGCCTTCACCTTCTGCTGCTGGCTCACTAGCGCTGCTGACTAGGGAACAAATGCCCTGGAACCTGGAGCATGCCTTCTCTTCTCGCAGAAGTCACCTTGGATTGATGCTTGGATTTCGTCGGTCGACCGGCTCGATGTGGCCAGCCCTGTGCAGCATCCTCACCAAGCGCTGCCTGCTGTGTGACGTGCGGCCGCCTAGCTTGCTGCTGCACATGAAGGAGCACCACCCGTCGCTCTGGCCCCAAGCAGCTTCTCCAACAGTTCGTGAAACGAGCCCTTCCCAATCGGATTTTCGCCTGTCAGCCATTTAGTGCTGAGATTTTGAACATGGATGAACACGTGTGCCCTTGTTTTTTCCCATTTGGGGATGCTTCACCTCTTTCTTCGAGGGCAGCAGATAGAACGAGCGCAGCAGACCACTGCTGACTTGTCACTGCAGCTCTTGAAAGCTTTTGGCTGACCATTCGTGGTATCGAGCTCAGTACAGATCCACCTCATCCTGAGGTCAAGGGGTCAACGCAACCTCATGAAGCTGAGGGCGTCGAGAAAGAAATGAAGAAGAAGAAGAACATGATGATGATGATGATGATGATGATGATGATGATGATGATGATGATG